GGCGCGGCCAGGTAGGACGGGAGGGCACCCCCGGGGGCCGGCGCCCCCCGGCCGCCTTTTGCGGAGCGCTGGGGTGAAACAGCACTGGGAGAGAGACGGTGCCTGCCCTTGTGCTGGGGGAGGGGGAGGAGGCCGGGGAGGGGGGAGCGTCTTTTCTCTCGAGTTACCAAAAAACTGCAAACCCAGATACATGTGTCGTTTGCCAAAGATTACGTTTATAAGAGGCTAAAGAGCTTTAGAACACCACCATGACAATATTCCAGCGACAGTTCCTTAGGAGTCAAAGAACAGCTAGAAGTCTCTTCAAGCACAGTTTCCCCCCACTCCCAGGTCTTTCTCTTTCCCTGTATTTTATTCCCCGATTCTTTAATTCAACCTGGTAACTCCGGCAAAAGCACCGTGTTGGCCAAGAATGTTTTAACAGTAAACACAGAAGAAAATAAAATGATGTATTTAAACCTCGAGGTTTTTAACTTGTCGATTTTCCCCCTGCATTTTGTTATCGTCGTCTGCATAACTCCGTGGATAATTCTTAAGGGATATTTTAATTTTCGGTTTGATTCCTCAATTAGGGAGAGCTTTTGTTACACAGGGACGCGTATTACCTAGGCAGGTGTGACGGCCCTCTTATGCACGCTGGCATATAATAGCGACATTTAGGATCTAAAAAAACGCACGTCTTAACGTTAAAGTTGGCAGCGGGTGTAAAAATATTCTGTTCTGAAAAATTCTGGCAGTGGCAGCTGAACACACCAAATCTAGCGGATGCTCAGCACTCTCTAGCTAGGCTTTCTGTGGATGGTCCTCTACAGCTACAGGAATAAATAAATAAAATCTTTAGCTTTTAATTAAGGCGACTTAATTCAGACCTCTCCACCCAGCGTAGCCGGCGTGGGAAATGTATACTCCAATGTTTACTCGGATCTCTTTCTGTCACTCTTCTATCTTGTCTTACGCTTACGACACCAGCAAAGCTTTCTGGCCCCTACAGCCATTGTTTCCCACTTCCACGTTCTCCGTCCAACCTCTGCCCCTCCAAGAAACTTCCTAAAGTTCCACAGGGGGGGAACGCCGTGCACCGAGCTGGTTAATGTCATTGTTTTAACGCTACCTCTCCCCTGGCTGCGCAGGCTTCTCAAAGGTATACAGTGCCCCGCTGGCTGTTCTTTATGGTACAGTGCAGCTTCTCAAAAGATCATCGGATGGAGAAATTTAGCGCTTCTCGAAACATTTAAGCAACTGAGCAATTAGTTCTGAATGGGGGTGGGGGGAGGGAAGACGAGGGAGCTTAAAGGAGGGGGGAAGAGGAGATACAACACAACTAGCCCGAAAACAACAGGGGTGGGGATGCATGGGAGGGGGACTTAAAATGTTTGTATTTAAAGGGTGCTTGCAAGGTCTTCGGCACAATATGTGCTGCTCTCCTTAAAGGGGCACTGAGCGCCAATAACCATTAGTCATCCAGTAGGGACTTTTCATTACAGATCTATCTTTAGGGGGAGTTCCCCGAAGTCTCCGAAGGGAACATAGCTGCGGATTTCAAACCCGGTCCAGTTCCAGTCACACAGTGCCTGCGTACCTGCTGCAACAGAAGGGAGAGATACTTACCAGAGTTTCGGGAGTGCACGGGTAGCCCAAAGGTCTCTGCAGTGCTCCTTTCCTCTGCGGAATACTATCTTGCATCCGAGGCAGTTCCCAGTCTATATTTGAAGTTAACATTTATGCTATCTCAAACAGGAGGCTCTCCCATAGACATTTTTTCCGGGGTTTTCAAGCAAATTTCTCGGTGCCACAATGTTATGATGGAAGGATGCTGAAATGACAGGCCTCGTAGACGCTTGTCTTAATCATCGGCTTCTTAATTTAGTTTTAGTGCTGTGGTTTTGTGTGTGTGCGTGTGTGTGTCTGCGCGTGTGTGCGCGCAAGAGAAGCCTCTGACAACCTGCAGCTTCCTAATGACTGACGAGGCAGGGCTGCTGCAGCAAAGTAACACTTCCCTGGTGTGAAGACCTCTTACTGGGAAGTTTAGTTCACTACTGTTCTCGCAATCCTAATCGTATAACCTGTAACCAAAACCCATGGAAGAAGGATACAGCATGCTAAATAGACTAACTTCTAATCACTAAACGTTAGCACCACTACCAGCTGTTGAGGATTAACTGGAAGTTGGCTAGAGACGGACACCTAAACTTAAATCTACAAATGCGGATAGAAGGGTGGACCGTTGAATACTTCCTCCTCTCCCTCTTTGCCTCTATTCATCCATCCACCTTCAGTCCCATTCACCCCTCTTCAAAATGTTTGACTACCTCTTTCTCTTTGTTAGCGCACCGCTCCGTCCCCATTCCCATTCGCCATGCTTTAGCAGCAGGCTATCAGTGTCTGCTGAGCAGCCCTTACCTTAATTGCCCAGGTAACCTGGAATAAATAAGGCAAGCTTAGAGTCAAGGGGGAATAGAATTATATATGCGTACATCCAGGCATTTGCTGTACCGAATGTGATATTACTGATTGTTAAACCAAAGTGTCCCGACTCGTTTCATGGAAGCATGATGCCATCGAAGCGTGGTTATTAAATACCCTTTCTTCATGGCTGAAAAAACCCTCATTCATTTCTTAAGCTGTCAGTACATTTTAGCAGCTTAACCCCTTGAAAGAGCCTGAGAGTACAGAGCCGCTAGACCCGTGTGAAGGGGGATTGAAGGCTGGAGCCAGGGGGTGGCGAGGGGTACGCTATATCCATTGAGCTTACAGTGGAGAGGCTCTGTTTGTCCTTTAATTAAAATAAATAAATAAATACATACATACATACGAGGAAGAAAAGTGTGCGGTTGAAACACTATCCCTAGGAGTTATACCCCAGAACTGCACCAAGATCGCGGTTGAATGGCACTTCAGCCAGGACGTTTCAGCTCAGCTATTCACCCCCATGCTGACCCTGGAGTTGGACACTCTCAGCCCATCCCCACCGCTCAGTGCGGCGGGTCCACACCACAGGCGAGCGCGCAGGTGAAGGAGCATCCATGCTCTGCGGAGAGCTGGGCCCCCCCTGCACACCCACCCGTGTATCGCAGGGTTGGGGCCGTGAGCTTCTGTTCCACGCACAAGCGTGCGTCTTCTCCAGACACCCCACCAAAACTTCCCTGTTAGAAAATGCTGCCATGAGGGACCTTCTTAGAGGAATTGGAGTTTAGCCAGAGCTGAGGGGTCAAATCGGCCGCTCACGCAGTGCTGCGACGCACAAAGCTCCCGCTGAAGTGAACGGGAGTTGTGGCCAGGGCAGAGCTCAGGGAATAATTTGTGTTGGAGCAAGACTCCCGCATTTCCAAAGAAAGTATCTCCAGTTTTATAAACGAGGAATTTTCTGTGGAAGAAAAAAAACCAGAGGGACTCGAAAGTTAAGGTCCAGCAGAAATAATAATTGACGTGGCTTCTCTTACATATCCTTTTCTGTCCTGTAAACAGGGAATTAATCTTCATAGGCTTAGAAAGATATGTACTACATATTGGATGCAACATTTCCTTTTTTGGTAGAACTGTATATCCACGGCATTAAAAAAAAATATAATATAAATCCTAAGTTTGTGCACAGAGCTTTATTCTGCACCCGTGACAAATGACTGAATGTTAAATCTAGATCATCAAACATTTTAAAAGCGTGCTTCTTTCGGTGTTAGCCCTTTGCTCAGAAATGCAAAACGATAAAATGTTTATTTTCTTCCCTGCTACATTTTCATCCCTGATCACAATGCAAAGTAAACTCAGCTTTGACCTAAGAAACACCTCAAGGCATTAAAATTTCAACAGGCAATGTCAGTGTTACATTAAACGAGAACTCCTCCAGTTCGCTGCAGAGCTGGGATTTGAATAAAACGTTCAATGTTAACAAACAATACACACGTTTGGCACTTTGTGTATTAAATGGATCAAAGAGATTTGATAAGGCACAATACACCATTTGTACAGACCTGATTGAGTTAATATAATATCAGCAAATTTTACAGCGAAATGAATCTGTTTCTTTTCTTTGTGTTTAAAACCAGCACAGATTACAAATTTTAATGATCTGAAAATGTTTGGTATACAAAATCATGCTTATTTCAGTATTAGCAAAAACACAAGAAATTTTTCAACACAAACACCCAGCTGTGTCTATTTTAAAAGCAGTTCAATGACAGCTTGCACTTATGAGCATGCAATCAGCTAATTTCGCTTTTTTTTCTTCTGTGTTAATCAACACTTTCCTTCCTGCATATCAGAGTACAAATAGTATAGTTACTCCACATCAGTAAATGTTTACGTAACCTGTCCTTTCTCAAGAATCCGGTTACACCGAATCATTACATGCTAGACCGAGTAGGAAAATGCACTGGGCCCAGCCACCCTAATGGGATCTTACTGCACCATAAAGACACATAGTAGTTAATGATCATCATAATCATAATAATATGCAGGAATCTTACCTTTCCTCTTACCCCTTGCCATGGTAGAGCCAAGTCATATCCTCCACATCGCACTCTTCCTCGAGAATTCCCATACATTGACTTCAGTGTTGAGCAATGAAATAATTACAAATTGACATGATTTTTTTTTGAACCGCATTTCTAAAAAAAAAAAAAAGGTGTAAAAAATAAGCGTGGTTGATCATTGACTTTTATCTCTTTTTTTGTTAGTAGCAGCCTGTTATGAAATTGGATAAATAAATACAATCGTGGTAAGGTCATTCGAGGTTAATCCAATGCGCAGAGTTCATGCCATTCGCAATTGCAATTGTTTATTACCGGTCCATTGTAATTGTTCTCGTTATTTACTCTCTCTTTCTCACACTCACTCGCTCTCCCTCCCTCCCTCCCTCCCTCACATACACACACACACACACATATATAAAACGCACATCTACAGACAACCACGTTTGCTGCACTGAGCTTTGACCTGAATTTCCCCGGGATAAATTGTTTTAGGTGGGGTTGAGCTGCACGTATTCTGTCTACGGAACGTTCTTTTCCTACAGTACAAACGCAAACTTTAGGCAGCTTTAACGCGGCGCTGTACGTTGCCTTTGCCTACAGCTTCGGCTGGAAGGCGATCACCACGCTCTCTACCCGTTACATTTCCCCTTCTACTTCGCCGGTGAGGAAGCCGCGCGATTTATTTCGCTTTGTTTCAGGGTCGATTCCCCCCCCCC